GTTTTATTTTTCAGAATATTTTTTTTTCTTAGGTCTTTAGTTTTGTATTTTTATTTTTTATCTTACAATAAGTAACTCACTACTTGATTCCTATTTTATTTTTCTTTCAGGAACTTGCTAAAAGTTTTTTGTTAAAAGAATTATTAAGGTCTCATTACACGTTGTGATACATGCGAAAATGAACAGATTATTACAATAAATCTAAGTATAAATTATTTCAACAATTTCTATGATACTTCTGAAATGAATATAAATTACTCATCAATTTGGTGTGATTCAAATCTTCTTGTTAACCTTAGTGAAATGTCTCAACTACCAGACTTTCATTAACTTTCATGTCAAAACCTATAACTGAAGCTTCGATCCCAATCTCAATAATAGACACAGATCGATGTAAAAAAAAAGTTTTAGATTTATTAGGTTTGTAAATCTAACATTATGGGCAGTAGTAGCTTAATGTTCCAAATGTATTTTGTTATTTTGAGATGAACTGGGCGCATCAAATATCACATCAAAACATCAAAAACGCTCTAAATATTGCCTTCATAAACTTACTTCGTACGTAGGAATCATATTTCTTTGTATGCTAAAAACTATAGACACGTGTATATGTTATAATTTTATAGTTTTGTATATTATTTAACAAGGAGTAAGTAACAAGTACTTTGTCCAATTCATAAAGAATGCGGATTTCCATCACAAGTGGTAGTCGTCCGTATGATAAAACGAGAAGATAAATATTGTACTGCTTGTTCTTGCAATGTCCTTATTGAAGTAAGGTTGATTTAGACCTTAAGGATTATAAGTAAGAGTTCAAATACAGTAATAATAACTTGATACTTTAAAACCTGGTATCACAACATTTGCATATCCCAAAATTTGATATTATTGCTGTAATATACAACGACTCTTGCTGACTGAGTTAAACGATTCACCAACTTTCTTCTAGTAGTAAAGTTGTCCTTAACTATGTAATAACCTTGGACACCACACTCACCCCTCACTAACAAACAATATATGTCCTAGAGCCTATTAATACTAAAGCTGTACTTTGTTGAGTGCTAATTTTCTAGGTGCTCAAAAGGATCGAACCGATGTCCAACAAGTTGGCGAAAAACATTATCCAACTAGTATTGTACCATACTTGTCCATTTGATGTATAAACTAGGATTGTACCATACTTGTCCATCTGATGTACAAACTAGTATTGTACCATACTTGTCCATTTGATGTACAAACTAGGATTGTACCATACTTGTCCATCTGATGTACAAACTAGTATTTACCATAATTGTCCATCTGATGTACAAACTAGTATTGTACCATACTTGTCCATCTGATGAACAAACTAGTATTGTACCATACTTGTCCATCTGATGTACAAACTAGTATTGTACCATACTTGTCCATCTGATGAACAAACTAGTATTGTACCATACTTGTCCATCTGATGAACAAACTAGTATTGTACCATACTTGTCCATCTGATGTACAACAACAACAAAAAATATTTGTACAAACTTGATATTTTCTTTAGGCTGAAAACCCGTGAAGATTTCTATCTAGTTTACTTTTTTAGCAAAACTTTGAAGAACATTTATGAATACAAGTAAATATGCTATAAAATACATTTCAATCAAAATATATAGAGAACATCAAAGATTAGAAGTCTTAAAATGTTTTATTTTGACTTTACAGACACACACACACACACACATATATATATATACTCCCATTGCTTCATAAAAACGTACTGTTTCACCGTTTAAAAGTATTCTGAAAAATTTATTTTATAGCAAAAATCACTCAATATCTATATTGGGAGTGTTATCGTATTTTAGTTGTGAAATATGGTCGTTTCATTATTTAGAGCTATTCGTATTAGGCCAAGGCCACTTACAATGTTTAATAGTACTATGTCAAATATATGATGTAACTAGGCTGGATTTGGAAGTTAGAGATGAAAATGAAAATACTAAACTGGTCCAAAAAGAATTTGTGGAACTGTTGGAATATTTAAAGAATAATATTAACGATTTGACTTTTAACTATCTAAGGGGTAAAACTGAACGCAGCAATAACAGTATCTTGACTCAACGTAGATTTAGACAGCTACAGAAGTTGAATCATCTAAAGGGAGTTCAACGAGGGGAATACACTTTTTCTAAGTAACCATAACAGTGTTATATCTAATTATTCTGATTACCAATTGACAGACACTGAAAAGAAGGTGTCAACCAGGAGTTTACAGTTTTCGTTTCCTGCTAAAAAGATTGCAAGAGAGAACATTATTTATATGGCTTTAAATTACGTTTACAACCAGCACATTGTGGTATTTGGTTAACATAACACACGATATTTGAACAAGTTAAGACAAGTTTCTTGGATAGCGCTTTGTTGATGTCAAGAGTATGATTACAGTAAAAAAAGATGTCATTTATCCTGGTTTGTTTTGAATTTCACGCAAAGCTACACGAGGGCTATCTGCGCTAGCCGGCCCTAATTTAGCAGTGTAATACTAGAGGAAAGGCACGACCCACCGCCAACGCTTGGGCTACTCTTTTACCAACGAATAGTGGGATTGACCGTCACATTATAACGCCCCCACGGCTGAAAGGGCGAGCATGTTTGGTGGGATGGGGATTCGAACCCGCGACCTCAGATTGCGAGTCGAGCGCCCTAACCACCAGGCTATGCCGGGCCATCATTTATCTAATGAAGAACATAAAGATCCCATTGACTTAAGTAATGATGAAAACATTGTCTTTACTAAGCCTGATAAAGGTAATGGAATTATAATCCTAAATAAGGTAGAGTATATTAAGAGTGTATTGAATGAAAAAAATGCGTTTAAAGAATTTAACTTGGATGATACTACCAGTAAGGAATTAAAATTACAAAGTTATCTGCGAAACTTACAAAGCAAAATGTTATTCGTGAAAAGGTTTACAAAAATATTAGATTCGGTGGTTCAAATCCAGACATTTTGTATGATAGTTCAAAAGTTCACAAGGATGTTATTGCATTTAATTAACCTTTAGTTAAGTTCCTGTGTAACTTTTTGCAAGAGTACACAAAAATCGAGTATATTGCTTGTAATAGTTTCGAATCTGTAGAAACGGTTAGACAATTACATTTCCAAGAAGATATATATACTGTGTAAGTTTGCTTGTTGTTAAGCACAAAGCTATACAATAGACAATCTGTGCTGTGTTTATCACGGGTATTGAAACCCGTTTTTAGTGTTATAAGTCCGTATACTTACCGTATTGTTTAATCTTTAATATTGAATCTTTATTTACTGATATATCATTAGTTGAAATTATAGATATTTGCTATGAGATGACATTTAAAGATCTAGAAGAATCCATATAATGTAAACGGACTATTTAAACAATCGTTTAAAATATCACTGATATTTGTAACGAATAGAACTCATTTCGTATGTGTGTGTGTTTGTGAGGTCTGGCATAACCTGTTGGTGAAAGGGCTCGTCTCGCAAGCTGTAAGTTACAGGATCGAAATACAGCGCCGAACATACTCGCGCTTTCAACCGTGTGGGTATTATAAGGTGACGATCAATCCCACTATTCGTTGGTAAAGAGTAGCCCAAGAGTTGGTGGTAGATATTGTCATCCAGTTGCTTTTACTATAGGCGGCAGTTCAAAATTTTAGATGGCGACAGATAGGCTTAATAGCTCAACTCATAAACAAAACGTTTTCTCTTCAAATTTACGGCTTAGCCATAGTATCGAGTTTAGCTAACGTACAGAGACTCCAAGAATTTTAGAAACATTTTTGAAAAATCGTACTGGAAAACTATTCAAAATAGACACTCGTTTTGTTGCACGTGCAAGAACAATATTTGATGATTAGTTTTTTACACCACCGATAGATGTTATTAACGTGTTATTCCAGCAGGACAATGTCCCTTCATACTGGTATTACCGGTATTTTCAGTGAAGGAATCTCATTCCCTGTTTAACTGGCGTATTTATTAACAAATTAATGGTGTAACCATTGGGCTGAGCTTAGTTCCTTTGATGGATAATGTATTTCTTTGTTATCATGAAAAACAATGGTTACAGAAATGTCATGACAGTACGAATTCTCTATACTAAATGAGTTACGTAGTTTTGCAGTTTTCAAGGATACGAACCAATCTGAACAGATTTTGAAGCATTTAAGTAGCCAAAACACTAATTTGATTTTTTACAATAGAACATCAGATCTAATATACATATATATGTATATATTTCTTGATACTTGGATTTTAAACCACAACAGGCAATATAATACAAAAGTATTTCATAAGCTGAGTTTTACAGGGTTACAATCACATTTTGAGAGTTTCGTCCCATTAGTTTTTAAGAAAATGTAGAAAAAAAACATTACTGAACAGAGTATAATCTCACCCAAAGTTATGGGAAGGAAGTAGGTAACATTAAAAAGTGTGTAATTAAAAACTGTTACCATTCAACTTAGATTTTATGGGAAGGAAGTAGGTAACATTAAAAAGTGTGTAATTAAAAACTGTTACCATTCAACTTAGATTTTATGGGAAGGAAGTAGGTAACATTAAAAAGTGTGTAATTAAAAACTGTTACCCTTAAACTTAGATTTTATGGGAAGGAAGTAGGTAACATTAAAAAGTGTGTAATTAAAAACTGTTACCATTCAACTTATATTTAAACAATAGTGAATTTAATAGTTTCGTTTTGAGTTTACTTAGTGATTAAGTATATTATATTACAAGTCACAGCTTTTACTGTAAAAGCTATAAGTTGTAATATAATAGTGAACTTACAATATTGAAGGCAAGATACACCGTCGTTAGAAGAGTGTAAAGTACCCCTCCTACCCCCCAGGATAAAGCAACGACAAATTATTAGAGTAATTTTACCTTATACAGAAATGTTATCAGATAAAGTGCGGAAAGATCTTAAAAAGGTTATCAACTTATTGTAACCACGTGATTTTTGTTTGTATTTTTATGTCAGGATTAAGATTGGAGATTTTATGCGATTTTGAAGATCGAGTTGATAAACTGCAGAAGTCTAGGGTGATTTATGAACCCAAGTGCCCGAGATGTAACCTGGAATATGTAGGATCTGCCAGGACGAAACTTGAAAGTCGTATAACAGAACACTGAAACTTGCGAACCAGTTACTTTACTAGCGTTACATCACATGTTTTGGAAGATTGTAACGTACTTTCGACATAAAGTCATTTTAACATATTAATGCAAGGTCAACATGAAAGAAAATGACGACTTTTGGTAGCCTTGACCACATTGGATAGGAAACTAGCTTTCAACCTGAAGACCGGTATTTTACTATTATACTTCAGATTGTAACTGCTATAAATAGGCCTAAGTTCAACATTTATATTAAACATTTTTTTGTATATGGGCTTTGGACTAATGTGATTAACTTTGTAATAATATGAAATATATATATATATTGTTTTACCATTGAAATTACCATAGTGTAGTTTAAAAACATACTTTTAACCACAGAAACTATCCATTATGTCGTTTAAACATCATGATGCTTCACAGTCGAAACTGCCTATCGTATCGTGTAACAATGTTTCACCAAGTAACTTTTTAGACTTTTAACGTGAGTACTCATGTTTGTACTAAATAATTTATTTGGACTATCACCACGTTATTTTAATGCTTTTGATGCACAAACTTTAGGATCAATTACCTAAGCCTTCTACTAAACGTCTTGGTTCCGTTAGATCCTGTTGTTTACTAAACGTGTCGCACCTGTAGAAGGCTTAGGTAATTGCGCCGAAAGCTTGTGCATTAAAAACACTAAAACAGTGATAGTCCAATAAATTATTTAATACAAATGTTTCACCAAATATGTCGTTTAAAATGCGAAAAAACAAGATTTAGAAAGGATGTTAATAAATTGGCTAAACATCAAACAATCCATCTAAAAGAACCACATGGTTTACAGGAGAATCGTTTTATAACATTGTGTTAGATTTCCATTGAATTTTGTCAAGTTATAAGAGTTACGAGACATGATGAAAAAAAAATATCAGCTTGACAAAATAACTAAAATATTAAATTAACTTAAATTTACATTAAAAAAGATTAATAACGTTTAATATCTCTTTGGCACAAACAATAGACAGAAGCTTTACGAGATTGTGTATGTGATATACTCTGACAAATTCGATAACTAACGTTTCTGAGTTTGGATGTTTTTTTGTTTTGAATTTCTCGCAAAGCTACACGAGGGCTATATGCACTAGTTGTCCCTAATTTAGTAGTGAAAGACTAGAGGGAAGGTAGCTAGCCATCAACACCCACCGCCAACGCTTGGGCTACTCTTTTACCAACGAATAGTGGAATTGACCGTCACATTATAACGCTCCCACGGCTGAAAAGGCGAGCATGTTTGGTGGGACGAGGTTTCGAACCCGTGATCCTCAGATTGTGAGTCAAGCGCTCTAGCCACCTAGCCATGCAGGGCCTCTGCATTTGGAACCATTGAGAACCTGTAAGCAACGCCATTTCAACTAAGAGTTCTTAGGTTCCAATGAAATAACATCGCGCCATCTATAGAATTTCGTACCCTTTTCCACACGAATTATTCTTCAAAGTAATAATGATCCCTGTGCTAGAATTTGGTTTTCTTTTCAATGTGATTAAATTTTCAAAGTGTTAAAGAGCCATCTGCTAGACTTTGGTTTTCTTTTCCGTATGGTTAAATTTTCAAAGTGTTAAAGGACCATCTGCTAGAATTTGGTTTTCTTTTCCATTGGTTTAAATTTTCAAAGTGTTAAAGAGCCATCTGCTAGAATTTGATTTTCTTTTCCATTGGTTTAAATTTTCAAAGTGTTAAAGGACCATCTTCTAGACTTTGATTTTCTTTTTCATATGATTAAATTTTCAAAGTGTTAAAGAGCCATCTGCTAGAATTTGGTTTCCTTTTC